TATGATCTCAGGTTTGTCATTTAGTTTTCCCAGTTCAGGTTTCTCCCGTCATTCCTCACTGCCTGTTTTGTCTCTCCGTTACTGGTAAATAAACGTCACTAGCATTATCATCTACTGCCTGCATTTTGGGTCCTTTCTCCCTCCAACACCACACGGCTCTCCTCGGCAGCCGTGACAGAAAGTCAATGATTACAGTAGTGTGGAATAAACACATGGGATGATCCATGATTTGGAGAAATTATGGTGATAGTTGTGATTTAATGATTTGGAATAAACTGTGTTGACACTTGTCTCTGTGGCGCTGAGTGCTTTATTATTATGAGCTACAGTTGCTGTGATGTTTGATTACAGATTTTGTCTTACAGGCAATAATGATAGTCTGTTAAGTTGAACAGACTCAACATTTAATCATTGGCTAATGTTTTTTCTTAATACAGGGTTACAGGTTTGTAGTGGAGCTACTCCAAGGGAGAAGCCCTAAGAATCTTTAAGTGAGAATGTGAAACTGTTTTGTGCATCTCTAATTGTGTGGAGTAAAGAGGGTTTTTGGGGAGTTTTCATTTTTTAAATTGCAGGTGGCATGAGGTGAAGTGATGGAAGAAGAGGCTGAGATGCAGATGGAAGCTGAGACCAGGAGAGAGGCTTCAAGAGGATCAGTGAGGAGCAGAGACCACGTCCAGCACAGCTGACAACCCACAGAGGGCTGTGCCACTGGGCTTCCCAGAGATCATCGAGAGGAGATTGTGGACAGCAGCAAAATCCAAAATAAAGTGAAAGAGGTTCGACGTTGAGGAAGACAACTAGAGTGTAAGACTTGCTCTACCCTAAACCTTCAGGGTAGAGCAAGAAACCGAGGGATGAAGGGAGCGTGCCAAGCTCCAAGCGACAGCGCAGAAGGAGATCAGCGATGAAATGATGACTCTGTAAACAGCACAGACACCAGAAGCCGTGACTGTGACGGGAAATGACTGACAGCAATTTCCCGAGGAGGATCACCTGCTGCTGTTTCACTGTGCCCTGCAGACTTTGACACTCTGAAGAGGTTTCCTGTGTGTCGTTGTTGTTGTCATTTGCATCATGAGCACTTCTACAAAGCTGGCTGAAATTTTGATGACTCTATCCCCCCACAGGAAGAACGCCTGGAGTCAGGAGATGGGGGTTGATAGAGGCCATAAAAAGGAAGTGCAGGTCCAACCCACAGTGAGGGGCTGCTGACCAGGCCTACAGCTTTGAAGATAGCTCAGGAAGCCACCTGGATAACAACAACTGCTGTGTTTGCATGCCCATGTGTACATACACTTAGACTCTGGCCATATGGACAATGATACGAATGGAGAAAGAGCTGCAGAACTCAATGATTCTGCAGACGAATGTGTGATCTACACCGGCAGGAAATGCACCACAAGGCTGGAATGGTTTTGGAAGTGTTCATTCCTCTTTTTGGACTGTTAACTTTCATTTGCTTACTTGTAGGATGCAGTTTACCATGTGTGAGACCAATGAGAAATAGGATAACTGCTAACACATTTATCAACTGTTTGCTTTTACAGTAATATGAGGTGAATGACAGGACAGAAGATTTGTGTAAATGATGCATGGTTG